ACCAATAGAACCAACCAGAACCAACAGAACCGACCAGAACCAACAGAACCAACCGGAACCAACAGAACTAACAGAACCAACCGGAACCAATAGAACCAACCAGAACCAACAGGAATCAGAATTCTGATCCTTAAAATAATAAACTTCCCACTTAACTTTATATTTTGCTCCGTCTGATGATGTCATTTTGAATTTTAAACGATTAATAATTTGATCAGTTACTCAGCGCTTCAGAACTTTTCACCAAATATTTTTAATTTCTTAGATGAATGATTTTTGTTTTTACTTCAGTGAAATACGTAGTTCTGCTGCTAGCTGAGTAATTTCTTGGACATTCTTTCCTCCTCAGTTACAAACTAATAACTTGTTCTTTTAGTTTCAGAGTGTTTAGTTTTTTAGTTTCAGTTTTTCAGATTTATCGTGTAAAAATATCTGAAAACTAATAGATTTTTTTTTTCTATAAAAAGAAGCAAAATAATTATATCTGATTAGTTTGTGGTCCATTTTTTCTGCTAAAATCCTAGAAAGTTTCTAAAGAAGAGCTCCTTAAAATGTGACATTTCTTCGGTTTAGGGGGTTTTAAACAGAAAACATGTTTGGACGGAAATGTGCAGAACACTGGAAAAACACAAAACCAAGTATTTTTGGTTTAGTTTCTAGTGCAAAGATGTTAGTACAGCTGAAATGAGACAAAACTAAATTAGAAGTAACTTTTCAGCAACACAGAGGAGCTGCTTGTAAGTCAAGAATTCCTTAATATTGATTTTAAAACCGTTCTAGTTCCACTGGCAGATTATTTCTCTTATAACTTGGTAAGTTTTAGTGTTTTTGCAGTGAAATATTTTCATTTGGTTAGAAGCATGTTTACAACCAACACCATGCTGGAACTGAAGCAGAGATCAATCAGAGCGACAGAAACCAGGTGGGGTTCCAGGTGAACTGACCTGAGGAGATGAGCGTCAGCAGCAGCAGGGTGACCAGCGCTGCTCGGTGCAGCTCCATGGCGGACCGCCTGACTGGACCAGAACCGGCTCTACCCGCCGACCTTCAGGCAGGAAACTGAGTGACAAGCA